GTACTACTAGGAGCATTCTTACTACTAGTAACAAGAAGCTACTAGGGGCTTTATGTTGACTTAGGCTGTCAAGACTTTTGGCTGTGTTGTCTCACAAGCGTGTTAGAACATACCTGTGCTGCTTGTCGGTGTTGATTCCATTGTCATGCTCCGAAGGGAGAGACAGAGTTCTTATCCTCTTCCATAGTCCTGTCCAAGAGCATTTGGCATGGCTTTGTTTGGGTGTGTTGACCGAAACCTGTTGAAATTCTTAGCCCCGGAAGTATGCAAGTCCTTGTTCAGGGGGTCTCAAACAGCAATGGACTTCAGATTGGTAGAACAGGCCTTTGCTTAGTCAGATGAGCATCGTTCAAAACTGTTCATATTTAGTAAGGACATGGTGATGAGTCATAAGTCATAAAGACAGTAACCCAAAACCCGATTGGCGTAAGGTTGCGTAAGCAGTTATTGACTGTAGCACTTGCGTAAGCTAAGTGCGTAAGCTTCACTTCTCCATGTAAAATATGCAAAAAGTCAAGCGCGTAAGCTCATGTTGTGGTGTGGTGGAGAACGTTTGTCCGTATGTATTTGCGTAAGCTCCGCATAAGCACTTCATGTCCCCTGCATGGCGCGTAAGCTGAAATATGAGTCGCGTAAGGAAAGCTCAAGCATGTGCGTAAGCACCTCCTTACGACCCTTCGCTCCAAACGTAGGTTTTGAACAACGCTCAGATGGAGACAATTTGTCCCAAAAAGACAAGCTCATTGCTGAACTGTTGATACAATTACCAAACAAAGTCTTAGTGTTACCACAAAGAACACCTCGTACATTGTTACTTCTCTGAGTGAGTAAGCCTAGAAGAACTTCCATCACTTTCAAGTTACCAAGCAGGTTTGATATTTTGCAGGACTTGATTGAGCAATGTGACCACAAGTTGATGCTGGGCGGAATGGGCGTGAGCATTTGTGGTGTTTGCACCTATGCTGCAGCGGCCTGGACTGCAGATGTCGTGACAGTTATCATATGTAATTATATATATATTTAGAGAGAGAGAGAGATAGAGATATGCCGATATGCTCGTGTAGAAATGCTGTGAGCAGATGCAAATCATTTGCAACTACTAGAATGTCAGCACAAACGAACGGAAACATCCAAGCTGTCGAGATGCACAAATTGTATTAGACGAAGCGGACTAGCTTGTCAGAAGGACTGTTCTCTTCCAAACCATGATGCTTTATGGATCTAACAGGCAAATCTAACAGCCGAGATGTTGTGTCAAGTATGGGAAAGCAACCCTTGTCGCATTTGCATGCACAGGTGCCTGGGCGCCAAATCTTCGCCTCCAACGGAGAGTGTATGGACTATGACCCTTCCCCCGGTGCGGGGAACAATGTGTAACTCATCAAGTGTTATTGAACTTAGATGTCGATCCTTGTGATGGCTAAATCCAAAATGATGGAAGGTTTCAGAGAGAAGGCTGGTCTTTGGTGCTTCCTTGCCGAGGTTTCATAAGTGGCGATATTGTACTGTAGTGGCTGTTTGTTTTGCTTAGCGTCCTCGAGTCCCGTATCTAAGGAAGGTGCATCCTTGCCACATCGATGCAAACCAAAAATGGTACTTTGAGGGCGAGCTGCTGAAGACAGACTACAATGACCTTTGCTTGGACTACAACATGGGAAACGGGGAAGTACCTTAGCTGCAGAAGCTAAAGCGCTCGAGCTGGAGTGACAAGCCTGCCGAGCCCAGACAACTATGAGTCAGTGGCACCATTAGTCCACTCAGCTCCATACTGCATACAGGATTTATGCAGGGGCTGCCTCGCTCCCACACGCGAAAAGGGAAGTTTTCATGTGTTTTGGTGTTTTGAATCGGTGTTTGGAAACTGATTCAACAGGCACTCGTTGGATGCAAGCTTTGCCTTGTCTATTTGCAACCAGGACCAGTCGTGGTGCATCTATCCTAGGGGGTATGTATCCTGTAACTGTTGCTGGTGCGTCTTAGCCACTTCCTTACTTGAAGTGGAAGCGCTTTTGTTTTCCCCAGGACCCTCCATGAAGGCATGTCAAAGGAACACATATTGACAAATGAAACTTTGTTGACAGGTTAAAGACATGCGTGCCGTAACAACTTCATTCATGGAGCACCAACATCTCCGCAGCAACTGCAATGCACGTCAATACCCCCGGCTTGCAGTGTGAGAACTTTCCTTTGAAATGATCATGGACACGAACTTGGCTTGTTCACTCTGTCCCCACAACACGTTTAATTTAACAACATCGAGATGACAATGAACGGCTCATGCCGCACGCCAATGATAGTCGTGTGAAGTCATTTGGCAATGATTGATGTGAGGATGATTGATGTATTGGTGTTGTGATGATTCGAAGCTGAGGATGTGAAATCGATAACAAAGGAGGATGACGTACTTGCTGGCGCTAGAGGTCTTGTGTGAAAACATGTCAAACATGGTCAAACCCCTCGTGACCCTGTGCACAGTTGCCTTGTTTGCCTGGCTGCAGGGCAAGTCTCATAGTGGACATGTTGCGTGAAAGTGCTACAGCATTTAGCACATGTTCGCTGGTTTCCACAAAGTTTTGATGTGGTCTTGAATGCCAGAGGTCTACATGCATCCTTGCCACCATGGAGCCAACCAGCATTGGTACTTTGACGGCGAGCTCTTAAAGAACAGATACGACAACAAATGTGTTTCGGCAGATTGGTGGTCCGCACTGGCCTTTCTGGGCCAACCTGAAGTGAACTATGAGCAAGACATTGAAGTCATTTGCAGCTTTTGATTTGTCGAGCCAGTCGAACCCTTTTTCAAGTGCTCGACTTTGTCTCAGAGTGTTCAGAGTGGGTTCTTGAGGCTTGGATTTCCAACCCGATTCCAAGAACATCTATATGGGCAATTGCCCAGGGAGCAATACTCAGCACTTTACCTGGAGCCAGGCACAACATGCATCAGAGTATATTCTCGGTAAACACCAAACCGCTGGGTGTCTATAGATGTGAGATCCTCAATCGCTGCGTGTTGTTGACACGGCATCGGACTGAGACAAGACGAGACCTCGGAAATTTCGAGAAGATAAACCCGCAAGCGCAAAGGAATGCGATTCTCAATGAAACCCTGAAAGAAAAGGGAACCACTGTTTCCTTCCCCACACACACTTAGAATAAAGCTCAGATGAGCACAAAGTCAGCGGCTTCAGAAGTAATTATATAATCTGGAGTGCATTAACGCTTTACTGCATTAGCCGATCAGACCTTGTCCTTGGAAACAGACTTATAAAGGGCCAAGAACAACAGGTCAAAATTGTTTCTGCGTCACAGAAATATCTGGGTAGTTCAAGTTTTCTCAGAAATTAAGATGGATAAGTACATAAAAAAGTGGAAAGCCTCCTGTTGTAGACGAAGGAAGCTCTCATAGACTCATAGGTCATAGTGGTCATAGTGGTAGTGAAGCAGAAAGAGAACCGACAGACAAGTCTGCCGACGAACTCTGCCTCCATCGCTCTATAGTGTAGGTAAGCAGGTACGTGATTGAAGTGCCCTTCAATCATATCCTGACGAAAGGCTGGAGCTTCGTTGGGTTAGGCAAGCCAAATGTCCCTGATCCCCTTGCGTAGTTCTTTTTTAAAAAATTGGTGTGTGGCCCTTGGAAACAGGGATACACACACATACACACACGCCTTGACAGCAAGTGCATCGTCAAATGGCTTTCCGTGCAGGCAGTGCATGGCGGTCAGCAAATTCGCAGTGACAACAATGGTAAATGCATGCGTGTGGAAGCTGAGCCGTGGCCTGAAAACGCTAAACAAACACAACACTGGTTGCTGTTTTCTCAATGGCTTCATGGTGCATTTTATGGTCGTTGGTTTCGGTAAGAGCGAACATTCATCAAAAGGGCTGCAAAAACGACACAAAAGTCACGATTGAGATGTGCATGGTTGGATGCCTGGCGACGAGCATTTGGATGCATTTGGACAGAAATTGCCGACGTAGGCGAAATTGGAAGTACAAAGGAAATCATCCGGCTAGCTCAACCTCAGAGACCTTCTGGTCTAAGATCTTCCAGCGCTTGAAGTTCAGGATTCCATAGATTGGTAGATATATGTTGTGCATAGTGGAGACTTTATGTGGTAAGTTGACAGGCGGTGGGCTTTTCTTTCCCGCAGGTTTGCTTGTACTCTAAAGTTCCGACCGCTACGGCTTCAGCCAAATTTTTACTCTGAGGATGGAAATGTGAAAATTGGCGACTGTGATGTCTCTATGGCAAATCGATTCTACTGGGATGGTGTGCCTTTCCCGCAATTGAATTGCGGGCAACATTGTGCGCGAGAACCACCCGATCCCTCTTGAACCCTTCTGAAATGGATGACCCTGGGCCATATGGGTCAAGAAGGTTGCCAAAACTGAGGCCGAGCCTGAATGCGCACATTGTGGTGTTGAGACGATTTGTTTACAGACCAGTTGGCACCAGCAAGCACACTTCACGTGGCATTGTTTGACCATACCCGGTCCACAGAGGGGGTCCAGTCGGCCCGCACCCTTGAGAAATTCGACCATGGAACAAGGGAAGAAGCTTTTGAAGAGGTTGGAGCAAGCACACAAAACCAGGCCTTTGAAGAGGTTAGGAAGAGAGTTGATTTTTCTTCGGCTTGTGCGTCCCATGTTGAAGTGAGGAGGGGTGCGTAGCCATGCGTAGCCACGATTCTGGTGCTCCAAACAGGGAAAACATGGGAGAACCTTCTTCCATCGGCATTTTGAAATTCTGAAATGGGTGGATCCCCTGCTGTTTGGCACTCATTTCTGGGACCTGCAATGACCTGCACGAAACTGTTCTACACATGTACTGCAAGAGCACGCTGGTGTTAAGTTCTGGTCTGACATGTGCGTGTGTGTGAGTCCGTGTCTCCTATCCATTCCTATCCGAGAGAGTGCGGCCCAACTTTACATCCTACTTCCACCTCGTTGATGCAATTTATTGTTGAATTAGGAACTCAATCAGGAGGACAACCGAGGTTTTTCTAAGTGGCTATCATTTGAGGGAAAGTAAGCATTCTTTCTCCATGCTGTCTTGATGGATCTGTTGGGGATGCCGTTAGGACTTCAGGAACTTAGGACCTACTTGTAAGGAAGTGTTGTCCCTTTCGGCAAGGTATGATTTGATCTAACAATCATAGATTTAGCTGTCAGACACAGTGTTTTTCAGTCGAGGCTACCGTGATCACGTAAATTCTTTCCCAGGCAATTGCTGGCACGCTAAGGAAATGATCAAATCTGAGAAGACCGGCCAATGTTTGGACTATCATGTTAGCGTTGGGAACATTCAGATGTGCCTTGGCAAGTGACAAACCTTGCATCAAAAAGCACGCCGTTTTTGCGAGGTGAACAAAGTCCTATTCCGCAACTCTCCATTCTTCTGAAACTTTTCTTCCGCAACTATGTGGTACTCTTCCGCAACTACTCTTCAGAAACAATTCTTCAGAAACTATTTTGGGATCTTCAGGAACTATTTTGCGATCTTCAGAAACTATTTCGCGATCTTCAGAAACTATTTCGCGATCTTCAGAAACTATTTCGCGATCTTCAGAAACTATTTCGCGATCTTCAGAAACTATTCCGCAATCTTCAGAGACTATTTCGCGATCTTCAGAAAGCTAACTTTAGAAAGTACTCCTCAGAACTTTTACAATGCTGCAGCCAATTTGCATGAAAGAGCACTGGGTGGGTGGGGGGTGGGTGGGTGGGTGGGATATTGACGTACCTTGTGACGGCTACGGTATATACATGCTTGTGTTGCGATCTGCAGCAAGTTTTTCGTGCAGGTTTGATGTTGCTCTTCGACTCTGTGCAGTTTCCGAACATTAGTTTCTGAAGAACACCGTAGAGTTTCCAAAGATTAGTTTCCGAAGAATAGTTTCCGAAGAAACCCGTAAAGTTTCCGAAGATCACTTTTTAGTTGCCGAAGATTAGTTTCCACTTAACAGCTTCCGAAGAACACCGTAAAGTTTCCGAAGAAAGCCGCATAGTTTCCGAAGATTAGTTTCCGAAGAAAGCCGTAAAGTTTCCGAAGATCAACTTTTAATTTCCGAATAGAACTTTGACCTTGCGAGGTCCTCAAACGTTGGCGATCAGGTGGTAGGCAACGGTAGCTTGTTGCGCCGCCAATTGGACGGCTGAGTAGCTTCAAGCTACTAGTAGCGTCCTTGCTCCAAGTAGAAGTGCCCTTTGTTACTAGTAGCTTCTTGTTACTAAGTAGTAAGGCCAGGAGCTACTAATAGCGTCCTTGCTCCAAGTAGAAACGCCCTTTGTTACTAGTAGCTTCTTGTTGTTAGTAGCAAGGCCAGGAGCTACTAGTAGCGTCCTTGCTCCTAGTAGAAATGCCCTTTGTTACTAGTAGCTTCTTGTTACTAGTAGTAAGGCCAGGAGCTACTAGTAGCGTCCTTGCTCCCAGTTGAAATGCCATTTGTTACTAGTAGCTTCTTGTTACTAGTAGTAAGGCCAGGAACTACTACTAGCGTCCTTGCTCGTAGTAGAAATGCCCTTTGTTACAAGTAGCTTCTTGATGCTAAGTAGTAAGGCCAGGAGCTACTAGTAGCGTCCTTGCACCAAGTAGAAATGCCCTTTGTTACCAGTTGCCTCTTGTTACAAAGTAGTAAGGCCAGGAACTACTAGTAGCGTCCTTGCTCCTAGTAGAAATGCCCTTTGTTACTAGTAGCTCCTTGTTACTGGTAGTAAGGCCAGGAGCTACTAGTAGCGTCCTTGCTCCAAGTAGAAATGCCCTTTGTTACTAGTAGCTTCTTGTTACTAGTAGTAAGGCCAGGAGCTACTAGTAGCGTC